AGCACATGTAAACGGAAAACCCAACTTGATCATTTTTCTCAATAGTGCTTATAGCGCGTTCTTATCAATGCCACACGCCCTTAACCCAACCTTCTCTTTCATCCCCCCCCCCTCATATTAATCATCTACGCTCTTATCTATACCACGCCCTCACGGGGCAATTCCTGTCAACTTTCTACTCCTCCACCTCCGTGCGATCAGCTTTTTATAGCTCCCCCACAATATGACAGTACCAATTGGGATCGTTACCAGCTGTCCCTTTCTGTGCCTGGCTCATATTCCACTCTCAATAATGAAAATACATCTAAGTCCCCAGTCCACCGCAAGTGGATATCCGGCTTTAGAACAACGATGACCATGATCCTTTCATTTTGAGTATTAACATTAGCCAAATATGGTCGATATATCTCCCGTTGTGTATATACACCACAATTTTCTTTATCCTTTGTCAGCTTGATGGGACGACACTCTGGATTTTGACCTTACGCGCTTCCATATGACTGTCCTGCTATTCGAATAAGGCATGACACGAAGGAAGTCAAACACCCAAGGTCAGGTAACCTTTTGATGATACTGATTTCTTTCTTTCTCGATAAAGCCCGTGTGTGAGATTGCTGGATCATATATGGAGTCTATATTTTAAGTTATGAGAAAATCCTTAAACTGTCTCCATAGTGGCTTGCTCTGATCATGGGATTCTCACCAAGAGTGTGTAAGAATTCCCTTTTTCCTGCCATCCTCACTAGCATCCATGAATTTTTGTCTTATTTTCATGATAGACCATTCTCAACTGGGTTGAGATGATATCTCACTGTGGTTTTGATTTGCATTTCCTATTTTGTTTTTTTGATTTTTTTTTTTTTTTTTGAGACAGAGTCTGTTCCAGCACCAAACACCGGGCTCGAAAGCGACTTCTGCCCTCCAGCTTCTGAGTAGCTTGGGACTACAGGCATGCGCACCATGCCGGCTAAATTTTCTTATATATATATTAGTTGCACATTAATTCTTTCTTCATATATAGTAGAGACGGGCGTACACTCTTGCTCAGTGCTCAGGCTGGTTTTGAACTCCTGACCTTGAGCAATCCGCCCACCTCGGCCTCCCAGAGAGCTAGGATTACAGGCGTGAGCCACTGCGCCCGGCCTGCATTTCCCTATTGATTAGTGATGTCGAGCATGTTTTCAAACACTTGGTGGCCATTTAGAATGTTGTATAGCCAACATTCTATTTTTTTTTTTATTTTATTTTTTTCTGTTGGCTCATAACAGACCTGGAGATATAGCCAACATTCTAAAGCTACTCTTAGGTGCAAATATTTCTTTTCATTGCTCCCTTACTCAACCCATGATAGAATGTGGGTCCTAATTTAAGCTTTAAGAAAATATATGGTCCTTGAAGCTATACACATTCTGGCTACAATAAGCCAATTGCAGAAGCTGACCTTGCTCCCCTATGTCAAAAAATATTGCTGTATTTCATGTTAGAGTTTGATGGAAGTGCTTGGGTTTGATGGAAAGGGGTTGAGAGCCAACTCTTGCACATATTATATACCACAGTGTCTACAAGCTGTTATTTCTGCCAGTGGAGTCATGCTACCTCAAGGTAGTAAGAGAATATATTCGTATCCCACCTCTGGATTGCTTACCTGAGCTCTAGAACCATATATCCAGTGCCATTAGGATACCCCACAGGCTCCTTCAACTCATCATGTGCAGAACTGAGCTCTGCATTTCCCGCCAAACTAACAACTCCTGTTTTTCCATCAGAGTGAGTAGCCCCTCCAGCAGGAACTGGGTAGGAGCCCTGAATTCCCCTCCCCCACATCCACCAATTGCCAAGTCATGTCAATTTCACCCTTAACATCACCAACACGTGTGCTGCTTTCTCTCTGCATCACTACAGCTTTAGCTCAGGGAGACAAATGTCTCTCCCAGCCCTGTAACCGCCCCCTCACCGGGCCTCCCTCTTTGGGGCCTTGGCCTCTTCAAACTGTTCTCCGCATCGATTCCAGAGGAAATGTTCTAAGGAGCCAATCTAATGAGGGTGCTTACTGCTTAAAATCCAGTGCCCTCTCTCCTGTACCCAGATTTAATAGCTTCATTGAGATAAAATCCACATGTCACGCAATCTGCCCACTTAAAGCATATAGTTTAGTGGTTTCTTGTATAGTAACAGAGTTGTGCAACCATCACCACAATCAGTGGTAAAACATCCTCACCATCTAAGAAAACCCCGTTCCCACTAGCAGTCACACCCTACTTCTCCCCAAACCGCCTTGTCTCCTGGTGATCAGTAATCTACTTTCTGTCTCTGTGGATTTGCCTGTTCTGGACACTTCAGATAAATGGAATCAATACAATGTGCTCTTTTGTGACTGTTTTCACTTAGCACAATGTTTTCAAGGCTCATCCAAGTTGTAGCATGTTGTCAGTGTTTCATTCCTTTTAGTGGCTGAGTAATATTCCATTGTAGGGATTAGACCATATTGTGTTTATCCATTCATCAGCTGATGGATATTGGATTGTTTCCACTTTTTAACTGTTATAAATAGTGCTGCTATGACCATTCACATACAAGTCTTTGCGTGGACATAGGTTTTTATTTCTGTTGGCTAGGCAGGAATGGGATTGCCTGAGTCACAAGGTAAGCTGATGCTTAACTTTTTAAGAAGCTGCCAAACTATTTTCCCAAAAGACTGCATCCTCCCTGCCCCACTCCACCAGATACTTTAAGCTGCTTAACATGGTTATAAGGCTCTTCCTAATCTAGTTGCAGCTTATTATATCACCTTCAACTCCACCTATACCCCAATTCAGACTGGACACTTCAATTAGGCCCAACTAAGCCTAAAAATATACATTCTCCATCTTATTTGGGCTTCTTTGTACACAGCTACCTGTGCTTGGACTACTTCACCTCCATTATAATTTCCAGGCTAATGCTCATGAGTCCTGAGCCTCAGTTTCCCTGGCATGACAACAAGACTGGCGAGGCCCCTGTGCCCCCTTGCATGTGCCCTGAGTGTGTGTGCTCTAGCAGCACTTGTCACACGGTGTAGTCATCGCCTATTTGCTGGTTTCATCCTTCAACCAAGTGTAAGTAAGCTCCCTGAGGGTAAGGATTGCACCTTTCTCCCCAGCCTAGAACAGTTCCTGGTCCCTTGGACGTTCTCCATAAATATTTGAAAAATGGATAAAGCCCCTAACATACAGGAGACCATCGCTCTCTTCCCCGCTAGATGAAAGCTGCAATAGTGGAAGAGTCCAAAATTCCATTTTCTCCCCAAAAAACTTATTCCCAAACCACCTTGGAAATGCACTAACTGATTTTAAAAATAAAACCTTTGTAGTTCTTTCCTCATTCTGTTTTGTGCAGGCTAATAATAAAGTGAGTTGGCATTCCTGGGTATATATCAACTAACAGTAGAAGAAGCCTAGCCAAGAATGTGTTAGGTAGTGGGTAAGAATCTGCATGGTATTAAAAATAGGCCATGTGTAATAATGGAGAATCGAAAGTTACTCAAATGACCAACAATTGGGAAATAGTTATATAAATTTTGGTACTGCATAGATAGACAGATAATGTTACCATTACAACTGTAAATATGAAAAGGTCTATTCAAAATAATCCTAAAATTAAAACTGGAACTCCAACTAGAACTCAAACTAGAATAGACAATTTGATTACAAGTATACAACATTGTGTATGTGCAATGTCATAAAACCATATTAATAACAGGTAGTCTAAAGGTTAAATTTTTTAAATTTGAGATTTTGTTTTCAATTTCTTTTGCTTTTGTTGTGAAATCTGTGAGAAATAATTGCCATGCATTATTTCCAAGGAATGTGTCATAAATTGAACATACTGAGCCTTTTAATCTAAGGTTACAAAAGGTAATACTTATAATTTGTTGGATGTAGATGATGCATTGCATCACTTAATTTTAATATATGTATATACATACATGCCTATTCATGCATGTATGTGTGTGTACATGCACATATGAAATACATGCATACTTGCAAGTATGAAATACATGTGTATTTCATAGTGCTGTTAGAGTAGGGAAAATGTTTTCACTTTGTTGTCGCACTTTGTCTCACTATTTCCAGGAATCAGACAGAACAGGAACTAGGGTATTATCTCCTCTTTATCAATTTGGCCTTACACACAAACTGAAACTGACTTGCTCAAGGTTGCGTAGTTAGCAAGGGTCAGAGCCAAGATCAGAAACCAGGTGTCTCAACCCCAACACAACCTCCCTACCTCTGCCCAGAAACCAGAGCAGGAAAGCCTCAGTGTACTCAGGATCCACAAAGTGCTTTGCTAAAGCGGCTTGCCCAGCACCCTGCCCTAGGAGATGCTCAGGTAGCATTTATTCAAAGGATTGATAGATCAGTAGGTCGATAGATCCATCAACAGTTAGGAATTTAACAAATCACTGCTGATCAGCAAAAATTCTTTGGTGCACTCTGGTGTTGGTCTTCATCAGACTGCCATTGCTACTTTAAATTTGTTCTCTACCAATATTTCATCCATTCGTTTCTTCACTCAGCAATCAAATATTAGGCAGCTACTAAGTATAATATAAGAAGCTGTGTTAGTAGCTTAAGGAGTTATAAAAATAAGATATTATTCTTGCCTTCAACATGCTTACAATCTACTGGGAGAATAAGATTTTTAATTTTAAAAAAATGCTGTAATACCTGGCAGAATACGAGGTGAAGTGAGATGTAACAAAATGTTCAGAGGAGAGAAAAATGGTATTTAGTTGAAAGAATAGAGGCAAATTTCATGGAAATGTGGCATTTCGGCAGCACCTTGAGTGACAGGTACAATTTCACAAGAGGCAATGGGGGAGGACATTTCATGCAGAAGCAAAGCATTTTAGCCCAGGCACAAGATTTTAAAAAGCTTTGCAGAAAAAGTGAGGCTCTGGGAAACACTGCATGTCCTTAGAGAGGGATGTTCCAGCTAAAATGTGTTCTCTTTTTTTCCAGTCTCTTTGTCTAACGTGAGATAGACAGGCACTTAGCCATCTCACCAGACTCGTGCAGGTGCTGGATCTCGGGTTGCAGATATGTAGGAATATGCCATAAGGATTTGCCTATTCATTTTCTCCCTCTGATGAACAAGGTAGGAAGTATTATTAGCTCTGTATTCCAGCAGGGTGTGAAACAAAGGTGTAGAGAGACTGGAACTTTCTCAAGGTCACAGGATGAGCCAGCTGGAAAGAAACCCTAGAACCACGACTGCTCCTCTCCAAAGGAGGCTGTGTGGGCATATCTGTGTGAGGGGACAGTGTGTTCCCACCCGATGCCCTCTGTAGCCACATGGCGACCTTTACTGGGGAGCTTTGCAGATATTTTTATATTTCATGAATTCCCCGGCCCCACTGTGGTTAGAGTAGAGTGAAGGCATGTTTATATGTTTTTCTCCAATAGACAGACTGAAGCCCCCAGGGTATCCTAAGCAGTTCATCTGAGAGCAAGGAATCGGTGTGAGAGTTCAGCCAACAATTAACCCAAGAGCCATGTTTCATTTGGCCCTTGTGTTAGGACCGAAGACTGGATACAGAGGTTGAAACGTGGGCGAGGAGGCACTTTGAGACCGGAGTTCTGATCCCAGCTCTACTGTGCACCCACTGTCTGAGCTTGGTCACTCACTCAACCTCTCCCAACCTCAGTTTCTGCATCTGTAAAATGGACAGATGCCTACATCTGTAATACATACGTTTTTTAATGCTAGGAAGAAGATCTGGGAGCATACTTACAAAACCATGAAAAATGGTTACTTTAGGGGGAAAGAGTGGGATTGGTTGGCTTCTATATGTGCTTGATGTGCTTCTTTTTCGTTTAGAATTGCTTACAGTGACCTGGGCAAGCAAATAAAGATAATAATAATAGCAATCACATAAATTACCATATAAAAAGGACTTACCCAGTAATTGCCAAATACCACCTTCCCAATATAATAAAAGTTAATTTTCTCTTTAAAAATTAAGCATTATGTCCTGTGACAAAAAGGAGTTGGGATGGAAGGCAGGAAATGAAGGAATTGTAAGAGAACAACACAAAATTTTTAAGCAAGAGCCAAATTTCTTGAGAGTTTAATGGATGGGGTAGAAAGAACACACATGGACCTGGTTTTGAATCTTATCACTGCCACATATGTGCTCTGTGATATTAGAGAGGTCACTTTGCCTCTCTGGGCCTCAGTTTTCTTATCTGTAAATGGAGATTTAAAAAATTCTCACCTTGTACATTTATGGAGAGGATTAAATGACAAAGATCTGAGTGTCATAGTAGGTGCCGAATATTACACGTGGTGCAGCCATAGAAATACAAGCAGACTCTTGCACACACCTATGGAGCACCCACCATTCCTGCTTCCTGCAGGAAGGTTTTGCCACGGGGTGTCTACAAGACCGTATCAGGGGCATCACCTAAACTCTTTGAGCTGTCAGTGATTCTTTTGAAAATATTTTAATAGAAGCGAGTGGAAGCCAAGAAAGCACATTGAAAACCAGCCAAAGGAGATCCACCTTCAGATACGTGTGAGCAAGACAGGCTTTTCAAGCCCACATACTTGTGGTCTAGTGCTGGCCTTGTGCTCTCCTGGCACTTCCCGGGTATGTTTGTTGTTTCTCCACCCCAGCTTTGGTAGCAGATGTCTGTAAAGAGCCACAAACTCAGCCACATTATATGGGAACATGCCCACTTTCCTCCAGCTGTCCTCATTCTGATTGAAAGGTCCCTTAGAGCTGCGATTCGCAACCCCTGGGCTGCAGCTGATATCGGTCCGGTCCGGTCCGTGGCCTGTTAGGAACCAGGCCCCACTGCAGGAATGAGCTGCGGGCCAGGCCAGCGAGTGAAGCTCCATGTGTATTTAGAGCCACTCCCCGTCACTCGCCATCCCCCCCCACCCCAGCCCACCCCCGTTGTTGGAAAAATTATCTTCCATGAAACCAGTCCCTGGTGCCAAAAAGGTTGAGAACTGCTGCCTTAGAGTGTCTGGCTGCATGCTGTTCAGTGTGCCCAGTGGACAGGTATTCTATAGGAAGCTCTGCATGGAGAGAGAGAGAGAGAGAGAGAGAGAGAGAGAGAGAACCTCTCTATCCACTCCGGATCAGGCAGTTGGTGGCGGCGCCCCCTCCTCCCCTGGCCGGGCCTTTCTGAGTCTATTTCCTCACCTGTGAGATGAAGCAGCCTCATCGCCACAAGGCATAACACCGTGGCTTGCTGTGAGATTTAAATGAGACACTATCTGTGCCCAGGGCTTTGCAAACCATCTGGAAGAAAAGGCACGAGGGGAGCTGAGATTCCCAACAATAGATCTGCAGGATCAATTTCTTTGCCTAAGGAGAGCATTCATGAAAATATTCCTAAGACTCAGAGAAAAAGGAGTATTTTGCTTTTAAACTTTGTAGATGATGTTTTTTTGCTCCAAACTTCCATTCCTTTTGTCCTAAATCTCAATGTTATGTTTTCTTTCCTTTAGAGACAAGGTCTTGCTGTGTTGCCCAGGCTGGCCTCGAACTCCTGAGCTCAAAGGGATCCTCCCCCTGCAGCCTCCGGAGTAGCTGGGACTACAGGAGCATGCTGCTTCGGTCTGTGATTCTGTGCTTAATTCTTCCCTCCCACCCCTCCTCCTCTTCTCTTTCCCACTGCTTCACCCTACCACGGACACTTCTAAGCAGCAGGTGGCATTTTGCTTCTGCCCCGGGAGGTGGGGGAGCTGAATTTCCCAGATGAAGCAGAGAAGGAAGGTAGCGGCTGATATGTCCAGCCTCCCTTGTTAATTCCGTCTCTTAATGAGACCACACAGGAAGACAACAACTTTCTAATAAGTCTTGTCTTCTCCCATTTATTGAGTGCTTCTGGTTGTGCCAGACACTGCTCTGAGCTCTGTGAGGGGGAGGCGAAACTTCCCCTTGGCCCCCGAAGGTTCGATAAAAGATCGACTCACAATCAGGCAGATCAATAAGAGAAAGAGATTTATCTACCCCTTGCCCAGGGAGAATCACAGGGTGATTACCCAATATCCCAGTGGGGTCCAGAAATTTGTGTATCTTCACTTTAGAGGGGAAGAGGAGAGGAGGAATATAGATAATTCTGTTTAGGGACAGGGAGCTATGTCAGACCCTGGAAAAGGTCGTGGAGATGAGTGATCCGCTGCCCATAAGATACCCACAACATAATGAAGTACTCAGAGGACTACAAAATAAGGCAGAAATAATAAGGGATGGCCGGGCGCTGTGGCTCACGCCTGTAATCCTAGCTCTTGGGAGGCCGAGGCGGGCGGATTGCTCGAGGTCAGGAGTTCAAAACCAGCCTGAGCAAGAGCGAGACCCCGTCTCTACTATAAATAGAAAGAAATTAATTGGCCAACTGATATATATATAAAAAAATTAGCCGGGCGTGGTGGCGCATGCCTGTAGTCCCAGCTACTTGGGAGGCTGAGGCAGGAGGATCGCTTGAGCCCAGGAGATTGAGGTTGCTGTGAGCTAGGCTGATGCCACGGCACTCACTCTAGCCTGGGAAACAAAGTGAGACTCTGTCTCAAAAAAAAAAAACGAAAACTAATATTTGTACATATTTAAGGGGTACATATGATATTTTGTTACATGCATTGAATGTGTAAGATCAGAGTATTTGGGGTACCCATCACCTCAAGTATTTATTATTCGTGGGTGTTAGGAAGATTTCAAACCCTCTCTTCTACATATTTTGAAATATATGATACATTGTTGCTAACTGTAGCCACCTGACTCTGTTATCAAACATGTAAAACTTGATCATTTCTAACTGTATATTTGCACCCCTTAACCAACCTCTCTTCATCCCCCCTCAAAACACACGTCCTTACCAGCCTCTGGTGTCTGTCATTCTACTCTCCACCTCCGTGCGATCAGCTTTTTTAGCTCCCCCACATATGCGTGAGAACGTGCGATACTTGTCTTTCTGTGCCTGGCTTATTTCATTTAATATGATGACCTCCAGTTCCACCCATGTTGCTGCAAATGACATGATTTCATTTTATTTTATAGCCAAATAGTATTCCGTTGTGTATATACACCACATTTTCTTTATCCTTTGTCAGTTGATGGACACATGGATTTATTCCATACCTTTGCTATTGTGAATAATGCCACAATAAACACAAGGGTGCAGGTAACCCTTTGATGTACTGATTTCTTTTCCTTCGGATAAATGCCCAGTAGTGAGATTGCTGGATCATATGGGAGTTCTATTTTTAGTTTTATGAGAAATTCCTGTACTGTTCTCCATAGTGGCTGCTCTGATATGGATTCTCACCAAGAGTGTGTAAGAATTCCCTTTTCTCTGCATCCTCACTAGCATCCATTATTTTTTGTCTTATTTTCATGATAACCATTCTAACTGGGGTGAGATGATATCTCCTTGTGGTTTTGATTTGCATTTCCCTATTTTTGTTTTTTTGATTTTTTTTTTTTTTTTGAGACAGAGTCTGCTCTGGGCTCAAGCGATCTTCTGGCCTCAGCCTCCCAAGTAGCTGGACTACAGGCATGCGCCACCATGCCCGGCTAATTTTATATATATATATAGTTGGCCAATTAATTTCTTTCTATTTATATAAGAGACGGG